CTTTAAAGGACCACTATAGGAACCCAGACCACTTCAGCTTAATGAAGTGATCTGGGTGCCAGGTCCAGCTAGGATTAACCCTTTCTTCTATAAACATGTTTATAATAGTGTTAATCCAGCCTCTAGTGGCTGTCTCATTGACAGCCGCTAGAGGCGCTTCCGCGCTTCTCACTGTGATTTTTACAGTGAGAATACACAAGCGTCCATAGGAAAGCATTGAGAATGCTTTCCTATGGACTGGCTGAATGCGCGCGTGGCTCCTGCCGTGCATGCGCATTCAGCCGATGACGGCGATATGGGGGAGGAGAGGAGGAGGAGAGTTTCCCGCCTGGCGCTGGAGAAAGAGTTAAATTTAACCCCTTCCACCACCTAGAGCCCGGCAGGGTGGGGGCACCCTCAGGGCACTATAGTGCCAGGAAAACGAGTATGTTTTCCTGGCACTATAGTGGTCCTTTAATGAATTTAAAATGAATTTTAAATTCAAGGTCAATAGAGTCAAAATATTCCCTAAGTCAACTATGCTTCCCGTTTGACTACTTTAACTTAAATCTGGAATTTGAAATTCACTTTCGATTCTCACTGTTGTAATATGTAATAATTATATTAAAAAATATTTTTATTTTTGCTGTATGCTATATTAAGGTATTGTTTTTTTGTTACTTAAGGGCACTAATCTTTAAAACATAAATTAAACTTGCACTATTTTAAAATGAACATTTTCCTAGGTTAATAAGGGAAGCCTGATAGATGTATCAAAGTGAAGCCCATGATTTCAACTAGTGTCATGACCAACTTAAAAAAAAAAAAAAAGAGACTATTGCTAAAACACGCCCATCATGCTTTTCCCTGTGTGTTTGTTTTCTTTTTTCAGATAATGAAGGAAGTACAGCGAGCACTTTGTAACGCTTCAACTGATGACAGCAAACTCTTGCTCCTCAGTGCTGTCGGGAGTGTCTTTTGCAGTGGCCTAGATTATTCATACCTCATCGGGAGGTTATCTACAGACCGCAGGAAGGAAAGTTCAAGAATTGCAGAAGCAATAAGGTATCTAGAGTTCTTCTATGTTTGGCTGTTAGCTATTTATGTTCAGTTTAAGCAAGAGCATACCGAAATTATGGGGGAGTGAAAATGGTGACTAGTGTTTATAAAAATTGAATTAATTGCTATGTTTTGTAAAAAGGGTCAGAAACCTGTAGCTCATGAGGTAAATGTGCTTAAATGCTTTTGAATTCAGCTAGACTTATTTAGGATGTAACCTGATTTTATTATTTATGTTTCCCCACAGCCAGTGAAATACATCCTTAGAAATATTTATGTAACATGAAAAAAACAGACTTGAGAGCAACAAGATTAATTTATGAATGCATTGTGTAAACTTGTAAAAATAGATAAATGAATTCTGTAAACAGATACAAAGGTTCACTGACCTATTTTTAGAAGTTAAAGGAAGACTCCAAGCACCATAACCACTTCAGCCTGCTGTAGTGTTTATGGTTCCAGTAGTGCTTAGGCATTCTTCTAGCGTAGCCTATCAAACTATTTGAGAACTGTTAGACAACGTACCTAGGTCCCATGGGTTCTAGCACCGCATGTGGTCTTCTCCTGCAGGAGACGCTGGATGTCTTACCTAAGATTAGCTGGTCCAATGCAGGCTTTCCCTGGTTATGATGTCAGTAAATAAGCACAGCCCTGATTTGCTCACTGGAGAATGCTGAAGCAAGGCAGCAGCCACGGGTGCCTGGCAGGCCCAGGTAAATTGTCAACACATTCAAAAACAGTTTGACAAATTGCTCTGGGAGCATCCCAGATAACTCCTGGCATCATAACCACTGCAGTGGAATGTAGTGGTTATGGAGCATGAGGTGTTCATTTAAAATACAAAATGCTAGTGGAATTTTCCATATGATGATTGCCCTACTACCGGAGAGTAAGGGAATTTTGTAGTAGAGTAGAATTTCTGCTATTCAATCTGGACACTAGTTTCATAGGACTCCTTTTGTCAAGCCATTAAACTTTTTTTTTTTTTTTTTTTACATTCAGAGACTTTGTGACTGCCTTCATCCAATTTAAGAAACCTATAGTGGTTGCCATCAATGGTCCAGCTCTTGGCCTTGGAGCATCTATCTTACCCTTGTGTGATATAGTATGGGCAAGTGAAAAGGCCTGGTTTCAGACTCCATATGCCACCATCCGTCTAACACCCGCCGGATGTTCGTCATACACGTTCCCTCAGATCCTTGGCGTTGCCCTGGTAAGTTAATCCTTCTGAGTTTTTCTTCTTGAATGCTTTTCCACCCAAGCCCCGCTTTTCCACCTTTCTGTCAAGGTTTTTTGTTTTTACAATTTCTTCTTACAAGTGGGAAATTTCAGTAGTCAGATTTCATCCAAGACTCTATCCTTCAGGCAAACGAGATGCTGTTTTGTGGAAGAAAGTTAACCGCACAGGAAGCGTGCAGCAGGGGACTCGTCTCCCAGGTATTTTGGCCTACAACCTTCAGCCAGGAGGTGATGCTACGAGTAAAAGAAATGGCTGCCTGCAGTGCTGTGGTAAGTTATTTATACCTTTCTAGGACTTGGTGTGTATTTTTTCGTATGGTAAACAGCTGTATCTATAATTGTATCCATGTCATAAATTGTAGAATTATTCACTCTTTCTATATGTTACATGTTTTGTTTTCTTCTCTACTCTCCCTTGTTTTCAAGCTAATGCTTATTTGTGAATGGAAAACCTTATTTACTCTTTGACCCTTCTTCCTGAAATGTCAAAAATATCAGTTAAAGGGACACTATAGTCACCAGAACAACTACAGCTTAATGTAGTTGTTCTGGTGAGTATAATAGCTCCCTTCAGTCATTTTCATGTAAACACTGCCTTTTCAGAGAAAAATTGGTGCAGTGCTTATTTACTGAGAGAGATTTCAGAGAAAAGGCAGTGTTTACATTGCCCCTAGGGACACCTCCAAGTGGCCACTCCTTAGATGGCCACTGGAGGTGCTTCCTGGCTCAGTAAGCAGCCCTGCCGTTCAGCGTCCCCATGTTCTGCATGGAGACGCTGAATTTTCCTTGTAGAGATGCATTGATTCAATGCATCTCTATGAGGAGGTCCTGATGGCCTATGGGAAAGTATTGGATTGGGTAAAATCGCCCATTTTGATGTCACAAAGGGGGTGGGACCTGCACGGCTCTGGAAATAAGGGGAGTTTTAAACTTTTATAGTTTAAAAGAGGGGGGCAAGCCACCTAAATGGTGGGTTTAGTACTATAGGGTCAGGAATACATGTTTGTGTTCCTGACCCTATAGTGATCCTTTAACTTAAAATGCTAAAGCCCCCCTTGGTTTTGTCCTCACAACTCACGAGTGGTCACTTGACTGTTGGCTGACGTTGGCTCAGCTGTGGATCAGCTTATTTGCATATCAGGGACAGACATTGGAAAAGCCCAAACTTTTAAATAGTCCCTAAGTTTTTGCCATATCTGTAAGTAGTATTTCTGTGTAGGACTCTGTAAGTACACTTTAGTGTTTTAAATAAGAACATGGCGGCATTACACATATATACAGGGCTCAAAGGATCTGCTGCTAATATCTTGGTGCCAAATACCACAGGACATGTTCATATATATCACAAAAAGATTGTAACTAAATGTATGACATCAAATTTATTTTTTTAATAAAATCAGCTAAATCTGGTAAACAGTACTAAATCATTAGAAAGCAATCCCTCAAACCGTGAAAGGTCTGAAAACTGAATACGATGAGGCTAAACTGAAAATGGGATATTGAAATATGCAAATGACCAAAACTTGAAAATTGTTGACCTAGTGTCTGTGCTAGATCAGATAATGCACCAACTGCTAGCACTACATGTGCCCAAGTGCTGCTCCTCTATGGGCAGAATTTTCTCCATCAGTGGTTGTATACGCTTGCTTGTATATTTGCTGATGTATTCTGGTGTCTTTCTTTGGCAATCAACCAGACATGAGTCCTACATTTTGACTATACCACCAGTTTCCAGCCAGTTTAAAGGTATGATAAATTTCTCTTGGATGGCTATGGTGAATATTGCAAATATGACTATTTGCTCCAGCTTTGTCTTGATAACTGTGACCATATAACCTGTACATAAATGTGGCGCATTCACCATCTGAGATTAATGGAACTTTCTGGTCTAATATTTCACATTTAGAACTTTGTCCAGATTTGCTCTATGTACACATTTTGCTTTGTTCAGCTTTCCATTTTGTATCCATGCAGGTTCTGGAGGAATCCAAATTTTTGGTGAGAAGCTTTCTCAAGTCTGTTCTGGAAGATGTCAACGATCGGGAGTGTCAGATGTTGAAGCAGTTGTGGAGCTCATCTAAAGGCTTAGACTCCTTATTCAGCTACTTACAAGACAAAATTTATGAAGTCTAACCTCATTAGTTGAGCAAATCCAAGGTGATTTCTCTCCGACTTTTAAACCTGCGGTGACCTTGAATGACGTTTGTGACATTGTCTCTTTGAGTTTAATTATGCAATGAGGTATTCCACAGAGTCTTACTGCTTCCACTTGTAGTTTATTCTTCATTCTTTAATGGAAACAAATACCGAGGTAGTCTTTCTCAACCAAGATTTCCTGAATATTGTAAAAATGTCCTCTTGGGCAGTCTTATCACATTCCATACTACAGAAGCACCTTTTGCAGTCTAGAAATTTTTCATCTGTACTAGATGATTTTGTTCGATGTGTGTGAACAATATGTGGACACGTATGCTGTTTGGCCTGCGAATCCATTTGAAGTAATAATGTGAGAATTGCACTTTTTTATGTATTTTTTTTAATTATTTTCTTGTACTAAAGTATTGAGTATTTTGTGTAAATAATATATTATTTTCCACGTGGGGGGAAAAAAAAAATAGAAAAACTTTTTTTTTTTCTGTTTTCGTCTATAAATTGTAACTAATTTATTTACGTTTTGCAATCATCAGCTATTTAAAGTCGCATTTGTAGGTTTTTATTTAGATTTTTTTTTTTATTTATCAGTATTTTTATTTAATTATTTTCATTATTTTTCCATTACTCCAATGTGTTCGCACATCCTATAAACGCTTTTCTTTATTTTTTATTTTTTTTAACAAAGCAAAACTTTTCTTTCATTCTATTTTAGAAATGTGAAAAAGTACTATCAGATTGTTAAGCCTATGTGGATCATAAATGTATCATCTCCAACCTTTCTATAAGAAAAAAATACTATGAAAACTTCAAGGTTTTTTTTTCCAGCTTTAATCAAACATTTTGTTTTTCTAATAATTTTACATTTAATTTATTAGGTTGCCCTAGGGTCCATCTCCTGCAATGCAAACATATATCATTTTTTATTAATTTGTTTGCTAGCCAATATATAACAGAGTGGACACCTGTATCTCTTTGCGAAAGGGGTCTTCACAGACTGAAATCTCTGATGGTGTTTACACTCCATTAAACTAATCCATTGAATTAAAATCTACAATGTACAGTAGTGTACATTTTAATGTTTTCTATCTGCAGTGAGAGCTTCCATGGGTTCTACTGGCGTGGATATAGAATAGAGACAATGTCAGAATACCTATGTCGTCACAAGTGCACGCCAAGACAAGCTTGGAAAATATATGCAAAATGACAATACTATATTTTTTACATAATACTTTTGAGACTTGGTGTCAATCAGCATTTAAATGGGTTGAAATGCACTTCGTTTTAACATATCCCTGTTTTTGTTTTTTTGTTTTTTTTTTCCATCAGTGCCATGTTCAAAACTGGGACTTAATAAAAAGAAAAATATGCTAGCGTTGTCTCTTTAAATGCATAGGGTGATTTTTGGTTTTGTGAACGAAAATATTTTGATGACCGTTGTGTGCAGCCTTTGTTGTTGTTTAAATGGAAGATGCGATGATGGAATATGGCCACCTCGTAGGATTTCTCTTCTACAGACCCTCTGCTTGCCAATGGGATTTGTTAAAAAAACAAATATCTTTGTCCATCTAAATAATTTTTTTTCTTTTCTATGGGACTGTAGAGAAGACTATTCTGTAGATCTCCTAAACTAAACTTTGGTCCGAAAGTTCCAACATCCTTGTGTACTATGGACTGCCGTCCAGGGTCCTGCAGATTGAACTGTTATAACTCAAAGTTTTCATTGACCCAACACTATTTTATAGACAAATAACACATTATTAGTTGAGCAATATATCATCCTTCCGAGCTAGACAACCATTACTGTCAGAGTTCTGCCTAGTAAAATCCTGGCCGTTGTGGTTTAACATGCTGCAAATAAAATATTTTCTAGGTTGTGGAGCAAGAACTTTGAGCTAGGACTTTACTTTATACTTTTTATAGTGTAACATAAAAATAGAGCTTATTTTTATTTATTGAGTGTGCTAAGATTTAGTAATTTTACAAGGCTGGTAGGTAAGCATCCTGCATCCATGACTTGCTTCATTGGATAATTAAGTTCTAGTTTGGAGCTTGAACGGTTTTCTCTTCCCTGTCAGTAAGCAGAAGACCACCATGCACCATTTTATTCTGGCAAGATCTTTTCTGATGACCTATTTTGGGAATCCATTTTTCATGTATCATTTCAATTAATTGTTTTAAGTCTTGTCTTCTGGTATCATACCATTAAATAGTGTTATCACGCAGTATCCCTAAATGAAACTGAGTGCACTCTAAAATATGTAGATTAAAAGGATTTGTCCGTTATTACAATCACTAAATAAAGTAACATAAAATACTATTAATAGTCCATTTAAGTATACAATCAAAATGCTGGATGTCCAACCATTACAAAGATCAAGTAGGGGCCACAGCAAAATGCCAATTGACAAGGGTAAATAGGCAACAGTCCAATTCTGAGCCAAACTACTTCTAAGGGAAGCTGAATATGGTAAACATGAGTCCACAAAAGGAGACTTTGCTGTGAGGATGTCAACCATTGTTGGAAGCTGGAATCATCTCTCAGAATGCAGTCTTGGTTTATACCAAAGTTCTAGTTACCAATAAAGTCCATAGGAATATGTGGACTGTGAAGAAGATACATCTCCTCTCATCTAGACATCCTTTGGCACGACATTTAGATCTTATGGATTTTACAGGTAACTAGAAATTTGGCTGTATTTTGGGAGAAAATTCCAGTCTCATATGCGGTTTGTCATCCTCATTTTGTGAAATCAGGGTTCTCTTAGCTGGACTCACTTTTAAGTGGTTTGGCTTACAGCAGAACTATTGTGTATTTATCACCAAAATGTGGAGTGTTGGTGGTGACTCTACATGTTCTTCTTAGCGGTTAGGCATCCAGTATTTTGGTATTATATTATTTGCATTTTACATCATTTTTAATATATATATATATACACATTCAGTTTTATTTCTTTTTGAATATTTACAGTCCTTTAATGCCTCATATGCCTCAATTCCAGATACTTGCCAACCTGACCCAATATTAAAAATATATCTAGCAAAAATACCCTTATTTGTACACCTATGTTTCTATACTATAGTCACCCATTCTGAACTTATGGGCACATATGAACATATATCACATTTGTTCAGTCATATGGCAGTGCATATTTACTATCCACCATGTATAGATGCATTGCAGTTACCATTCGTATGATTTGTTTGATTTGTGTCTTATTTAATTATTTGGTTATGCGATACATTCCATGACCCAATTCAATTTTGTGTAAAATTATTCTCATGGAAAATAGTGTTTATGTTCTATTAGGAAATAGAGCATACCGAAATGAAAATCACAAGCAAGCCAGTAAATGTTACTAGTCTCATTTTGGCTAGACATACAAGGGCTGTAGTTTCAAATGTTGGTATTTACATCAAGCCCAGCATTCAGGGCACCAGTTGTCCAAAGACTAGGTGGGTATCTTTCTGGTTAATAGTATGTCCATTGTAGTGCAGCCTGAGTTTATGATGTCCATAAGGAAGCATAGATTAAACGGGTCAGTGATGACTTTTTATCTACTATAGTTTTTGTGATCTACAATATTAAATAATAGAATGGAAAATAAATCTTTGGTTTAAAAAGACATATTAACAAAGTTTCTAGAATTAATACAAAGTTACTTAAGATTGGGAATACTAGAGATGTGTATTTTTGTTTACACATGACAATCAATTGTTAAAAAAAAAACAACATGAAAATGAAAGCAGCATCTAAGCTGATTGTGTTTATCTTTTTTGGGAAAATATTATCTAATAGTAAAATTAGCAAGTCATAATTTGGGGTTTTGTTTATTAAAATTGTTTTTTTTTATTTGGGTTCACTTACGCGGAAGTATGCTGTAAATACTCAGTTTACTTGTTAAGCTGTGGACAAGGCAAATAATTTCTTGGCATTGATGTAAATGAGAACCCTACTTAAGTTTTAGGTCACGGGAAAATCATCCCTAGAGTACAGAGGAACCTAATTTAATTTAGGCCAGAGTAGATGTCCAAGGTGATTATGCCGATTCTGTCCATCGTGCATGTTTGTCAGTATGTACAACTGCAGAAATTGAGTTGATCAGATTGTCGCCTATTCCATATATGAACGGAATAAGCTACCAAGAAGAGAAACTTTTTGCATAGTAATTACGTTGAGCTTTAGAAAGCGAAAAGCAGCATTTTATCTAAACTCTTGCCCGTATGCCTTTGGGGTTGGTTGGTTGACAGGTGGTTGTAGTAGACCAGTTGTTTTCAGTTTTCTAACCATAATCAACGTATTAATGTCTTTCTTGTGGCTTGAAGTAAAGCCAGCAAGGCACATTGTTAATTTGTTTTCTACATTTACTGATTTAAGCCATGAATCCTAAAGCAGATGTCTTCCCTATCACATGTTTTAAAAAAATGCCATGAGATCGTAAAAATATATTTTATATCTTCTATGTTTAAGATATTAATAATATCATTTGAGTTCCTGAAGAAAGCCTTGGGAGATACGAGATATCATTTGTAGATGAAAGCTCAGCAGGTTCAGGCAATTTGCCCAGAAATCGTCCATCTCTATTGAACAGAGGCGTCAGTTAGTGCATTAACTTGTCATTGAAACTTCTTTCTTAATTGCCAAAGAAACAGTTTGTGAACAAAGATAAGATGATGTCATGTTTATAGTTTTCTCACGTTCTATTCATTCTCTGCAACGGTATCTGGACATCTTTGACAGGTGCAACCATGCTTTTTACTCTGTTGCTGTTATGTTCATTCTTTTTGTTCTATCACTTTTGAAGAGTGTAAACATTTACATTGATATTGCCGTCCAGATAATGTCATTTTGTAAAGCGGTGCGTGTTACGGGGTACTATGCCAGCTTTTTTCTTTTATACTTTTGTAATTTTCTTTTTCCATTTGCACCTTTAACTTTACTATTTTAACAGTTTGTTTTTCTGCTTATTATTTTAGAAATACTTTAATTATTCACTGCCTGGCCTTTTCTTTTCTCTTTAAAATTTTTGGTTTTTTTATGTAACTATACAGCCTGTGCTGTCTCTCGACTTGTCTAACAATGAGACATTTACAATGGTAATTTTACAATCTTAAAGATCAAGATTTACCATTTAAAAAAAAAAAAATATATATATATATATATATATATATATATATATAATATATATATATATATATAGAGAGAGAGGGGGTTAGGTAAGCGGATAGAGGAGGTAGGAAGGCAAGTATACATTTTGGTTCCATATTCAAATTTTTTCATTTTCCTGTTCAGATCGCCCTTGCTTTATTTTCTAAGCTGGAGAACACCGAATGTGCTGGTTCATTTTATTACAAATGTAAAATACATTTTTGCATAAGCTACCGGACACTCACTTCCCTTAGTTACAATATCTGGGTATGTAATCGCTTTTAATTAAATTACATCTCCATGTGGATTGGTGGTTGCTCAGCCATTTTTATCTCATTAGGACAATGTAGTCCAACCTTCACCTTCTCGGTGGTGTTGGTAAACATTTTCCATAATTCTCTGCCGGATCACTCTTGCATGAACCATAGGCTTTCTTAAAGAGCACTGTCATGCCGAACTTACCTTTCTGCTCTTGTTTTTTCTTATCTTCTCCAAATCTGTTCTTCTTTTCTTTATTTCTAACCTAGTTTTCTCTAAAACATAAGACAAAGTAGGGACTGCCTTGTCGTATGTATTTTTCCTCTTAAATCTTAAGTCTGCTCCATTTCCTGTGTCAAGAAGAAGGGTGAGTACTTTCTCTAACACCGGAAATGGAGCTTACTTAAGCTCCTCCCTAGGTCAAATAAAGTCAAGCGTAGGAAAAGTACATGTACTCTGTACAGTAAAAATGAGATTGCCAGATGTCTTGGAATCCATCCCATACTTGATATAAACTGCATAGCTTTACTGTTTGCATCCTTGATATTCTAGATAAAAGCTGGGTTGAGCATTGCATGATAATCACATTATTTGGAAAAGGATGGGTTGAACACCAGATATTTGGGGATCCTAATCTTGATACAGTGCTTTGTTTTATGGTGATCATTATTTGAAGGCTAAGTTCATCTCCAGCTATTTTGGGACTGTATGGCCATCCTGCCATTAAAGGTGCTACTGTACTTGACAAAGACTGATAAGATCACCAAATAGTTTGACATTTCATAATTGATTAACTGCATTTTTCTATAGTAATATTTCTTAAAGACTGGATTTGTGTTTTTGAATACTTGTTAACATGTATCAAGAATGCGCTCTCATGATATTTCCATATCTTGAGTTTTGTATATAATGTAATCCTGTGGATCCCATGAATGCTTTAGATTTTCACAGATTTTTAACGTTCACTAGTTTTTATGTTACCAGCTGTCTAATGAATCCTGCTTGTGAAATGGCTTGGCATTTGGAATGCTCGATACTCGGTACAGTCCACTCATTTGTAGAAGATACGTTATTTTCTTATTCTCTAATTTTACAAGCTCTCTTTAATATTGATTTTAATGTGTCTGCTTCTGTTAGTTTAGAGTTTTTAAACATGTATTTATAGCAGTTTGTTTTTGTAGGGGTTGTTTGTTTATTTGTTTTGTTTTAGTACTCCTTTTTCTAAAGGACGATATTATATGCATGTTTACATTTCATCATTGTGTTCTCATTATGGTATCTTTTTACAGACCAGTAATTGTTTGATAGAAGGAGTGATCTTTCATGCCATTGTTTATTGGTATGGTTTTTATACTCTAAAATGGCAATTGTATAGAACTGTTAATTTTGCAATTAACTTCTCAATTCCCAATTTACTGAATTCAATTCTTTAATTTTTTTTTTTTTATGGAAACTGCCAATATTGGCAAGATTTTTTTAAAAAGGGACACTTTAAGCACCATAACCACTCCAGCATGGTCCATGGAATTTAGCCAGCTTATTCAATAAGTGTGGACTGTTAAGAATTTAAAGTTAAATCATATTTGTGGCTAATAGAGCCGAACGGGAAAAAAATCTTAATGTCAGTTATGTTTTTAATTTGGCTATATTTTTCAAAAATGCAGAATTGACATTGAATTCCTGACAATTCACACCTGAGTGTGTGCAGTCCATCTGGATCATTAAAGGGATATCTACCTATGATCCTAAATTGTCCATTGGAAACACCTTCCGTCTGGGGCCAACCTATCCTGCCTTTGGCTAGCGGGTGATTCATGTCTGATCAGAAGTTGTTTACCTATGTTTGCTCAGAAGGGTTGTGAAGGTTATATTGACACAAAACAATGTCTAAAGTTCAAAACAAAATATTCTGTTTCATTGAATTAAAGAGTTTGCATTTAAAGTGAACCTGTTGTTTGATCAAAATACATCTAGTAAGTTTTTAATTTTCCATTCTTCAATGTTATTTGTATAATTTCCTATTTATTTAGCTGCACATTTTTTGACAGGTTCTCCTTAATATAAAATATCATACATTGGTGGATCATAATCCCAGTATATATTTTTCTCGTATATATTATATGAAGACGTTTCATATAAATATATCACGAACTAGGGATGAGTTAACTGAACATATTATGGGTGTTTTTTCATGTAGTAGAGGTTTGGTGTCTTTTGACTGTAAGCAATGTTGCTGCTTTTCTAAAATTATGCAATCTCCTCGTAGATTTTATTTTTCAATATATTTTTCTATTTAGACCTTGAATATGTTTTGTTTCCAAAGTATGCAAAATCGGGAGAATAAATTCCTGTAGTACAGACTAGACATTAAGTCAAATGCAGTGTAGGGTTTAAGTCATGAGGACATGACATACATCTAGCAACAGCTATTGTACAACTACTGTGGTTAGAAGAGAATTATGGGTGTTGAAGCTCAGCATCATCTTGGTGGCTTTGCTTTTTTCTACCCTTGGTTTTAAGTGTGAACAAAAAAACAGATAGCAGGTAAGGGGTTAAAAACAAATGCCAAAATGTTTGTTTTTTTTGCCAGGGATGTCCCCAAGTTATTAATCCATAACCCACTCTGCTAGGGATAAAATCAGGACATGCATTGTGTTGTTCTTTTCTGGTAAACCATGTGGCAAGCAGAGGGTTGAAAAGGAACACATGCTTTGTAATTATATTTGTTTGCTTGAATTTTTATTTTATTTTGGGGGGGATTTTTTTTTTCTGTTACATGGCAATATACAGGCATATTAGAGAATATCTAATATTTGTATAATATATTTACTTATATCATTAAGGGATACCGGTCTCCTTTCTGACAGTGATGTAAATATTTTCTGATAGCCGTACATATATTTACTGTGGTTTAGACAAGAAATAATTTGTTAACGGGTGAATGAACAGATTTCTGGGTGCCTTAGAAGCTGTATTTTTGATGTGTGTTAAAATCCAGTATCTATTGTGAAAAAATAAAAGCTGCTTTGAATAAAAACATAAAAAAAAAAAAAAATGGGGGTCAGATCTGAATATGTGTTTTATTATATGGCTTGAAATGAGTAAGCATAAAGAAAAATACATACACCATCATTAAAATTCTGTACAACAGTGTGGGTCACTAACACAGATCTCAAGTGTCCCTTTGTACCTCTGATTGTTCTCTCTGACCTAATAGTTGCAACCCCTTCTTTAGACATGTTAAAAAAAAAAATATATATATATATATATATATATTTAGTTAACTTGGCATTATAAGTGTAGCAAGGTCCGTTCCGCTACACTAATGTAGCGGAAAGCTAGTTCTAGCAGGGACTCCTCCGCTGGTGCTCTAAGATATACTCAGGAACAAGTAGAATATTCCAAGGAAGCAGCCAAATACAGGAAAATACTCCAAGTATCTCCCCAGCAACTGGACGACACTCAGCTCTGATTTTAATGGTGCCACACTTTGCCTTATATGACAATCCCCATGCAAGGGGTACGCCCACATGGATCTTGTGGGGAACTGAGTGACAATATTCACAGACCAATAAGACCGTATTCCAATGCATCACACATAGTGTACAATCCCTCCCCTCTGCCCGGGAGATAATTGAGTCAGATACTGTTTTAACCCAATTATCGCCAGGCAGGAAAAAAACACATTTTACAAAACCCCAAAAACACAAAGTATCTCCACAAATGTCACATCCCCTGATAGTCCTCATCTGAGTGACCAATCACCCAGATCAGTTCAGGGGTTCAGAAATTTTATGGAAGTTACATTTTGACCGACCGTACACATGGTCCCATGCCCAAAACAGTTCCAGAGAATCAGGCTGTGCGGCCGGTCTACTTCGGGGATTCAAAGTAACGTCCAAAATACCGAACATAGAGAGTTCGTATGGCACTTAGTCTCTGTTTCTGGTTCGAAAGCTTATTCCCACCGAACGCCGTTAGACTCCCATTCGAATGGCTTCGGGAGTTTGAAGAGTTACTAAGTCCACAAAAAGGCACGAACAGTGGTAGCAAATAGGATGATCTATCTCACACAGGAAGGCAAGCCCCAACCATAGTTGAAAAGGGGATACAGACAGCCTGTAGCGGCATAAGGCTACTGTAGCAAGGTCCATTCTGCTACAATTCGCATTACAGAGTATTCCAAAAGCACATGTTTGAAGGACATGTTTGAAGTGATGTACACATCACCTTTAGTTTCATGGTTGCAAACTATAAAACAGGTTACATAACTTTAGACACTGTACCTACCTGGATTAGTGTAAATTAGCAAAACTAAACCAGTTGCTGTGGTTGGACCTACACCTGAAGGCTCCTCACTAAGCCCATTGGTGCTGAGTGTATGTATATACCGTATATACTAGAGTATAAGCAGAGTTTTTCGGCACATTTTTTGTGCTGAAAAAGCCCCCCTCGGCTTATACTAGAGTCTGTGTCTGTATTATGGCAACTTACATTGCCATAATACAGACCAGGACCGCCAGGCTCATTACAAGCCCGGCGGTCCTGTTGGGGGCCGCAGCAAGCTGTTACTTGCCTTTCCTGCAGCTCCCAGTGTAAATCTTGCGAGACCCGCTGCCGTCAGAGTGTTGCCACTGGTTACCATGGCATAGACCACGAGATTTACACAGGGAGCTGAATGGGAATGACCGGAGCTGCTGTAAAGGTAAGTAACTGCTCACTCCCGCGCCCCGCCCCCCCTCTGCATAGTACACATCACTGGACCGCCAGGGAATGAGAGCCCCCCCCTCCCTGGCCAGGCAACAAGCAATGAGGGGGGACATAAAAATAAATTTAAACATAAATATTAAAATAATAAAAATATTAAAATAAATAATGCCCTCCCCCCACCCAGTTTATGTATATCACACACTACACAAACACATACTGCATTCATACAAATACACTCTGCATTATAAACACACTGCATTCATACAAACACACTATGCATTATATACACAGACACACTGCATTCATACAAACACTCTGCATTATACACACACATTCTGCATTCATTATATACAAACACACTCTGCATTATATACAGACACACTGCATTCATATAAACACACTCTGCATTATACACACACACACACTGCATTCACACAAACACACACATTCTGCATTCATTATAAACACACACAACACAAACTGCATTCATTATGTACACACACTGTAAATAAATATTCAATTAATGTAAGTACAATGTTCTGGTATTCACAAAAGTGAGTAGAGCAGAGGGTGTAGACGGAATAAGAATAGAGAGTGTTAGAGCTCAGAAACTGGAAAATAAGGATTTCACCTGATCCTATAGGTATAGATAAACAAAAAATACACTGGTAGAGTGTGAGTTTCCAGGAGCTAGAACAGAGAGAGTAGGTATTGGAATAAAACTGGAAATGGATATGGCCTTAAATAATACAATATTAAAATTAAAAATATAAAATTGCACTGTCTGCAAGTATAAGTATAAAGCAGAAATGAATATGACCATAAATAGTAAAATAGATAGATACACACAAATGGATGCTGTCTGATGTTATGGGTGCTCAGACATATTTTAAAAAGTCCAATAAATCGATGCAAAATAGTGGAGATACTGCAACATATATTAGACAAGTCCAGAAAATTCCACTTTAAATCAGAATAGTCTCAAATCCTCAAACATAGAAACAGAACTTATAGCATAAGTAATCTAGACCCTGCTTGTAAAGACAACGTAGGGTTAATAGTACTTATGGCTTAATCTACTTTTGTGAACAAAAGATAGAGTAGCAGTCCAGAGAAATTAACCAGAGCAAGCTAGTATAAGGAACGAATTGCTCACTTTATGATAAGTGATGATATCACAATCCTTTAAAAATAGGTCACTTGAAGAGTTACTTGGTAAAACAATGAGTTTACTGAAATCTTAAAAAGTAATAAACATATGAAATAAATAAAAAAATATGGGTGAAAATCTGAGGTAGGTAAACAGTCTAAGTATCAAGTGGAATAAGGAATAAAACCTGCTGTCCAGACCAGGATGGATGTGGATTGTGTTTGGAGTTTGTTGTCTCTGTATCCAGATAGCCGCTGAGGACGGCTTGTGAGTTCTTGTATGCTCTGCCTCCGACTTCACATCAGGGGTGAGCTGTAGTCTCACGGAAAGGCACAGATGCTGGGTCCGAGATCTTTCAGTCTGCAGGGATGATCGCAAGAATGTATCCACTTGTTACTCCTCTCAGTTTCGGCTGCCTTACGCGTTTCGTAGGAGAACCCTACTTCATCAGAGGCTTGTGCTTTCCATTGTATCCAGCAGTTTATATACACTAATGCTGGGAATGTTAATTATGAGCTCAATTAGCTATATTTACAATGTGTATTTGAACAGGCTTGTTGTTAAAGGGCCACTCTAGGCACCCAGACCACTTCAGCTTAATGAAGTGGTCTGGGTGCCAGGTTCAGAGAAACTGCTATGTTTATAAATGGGTTAATCCTTCCTCCAATTCCTCTAGTGGCTGTCTCACTGACAGCCGCTAGAGGCGCTTGCGTGATTCTCACTGTGAAAATCACAGTGAGAGCACGCAAGCGTCCATAGGAAAGCATTGCATATGCTTTCCTATGAGACTGGCTGAATTCACGCACAGCTCTTGCCGTGTGTGCACATTCAGCCGAATGGGAGGATCGGAGAAGAGCTCCCCACCCGGCGCTGGAGAAAGGTAAGTTTTAACCCCCTTCCTCTCCCCAGAGCCGGGCGGGAGGGGGTCCCTGAGGGTGGGGGCACCCTCAGGGCACCCTCAGGGCACTATAGTGCCAGGAAAACGAGTATTTTCCTGGCACTATAGTGGTCCTTTAACTCTTTCATTACAAGTGACATAGAAATGATAATGATCAAAACAATATAAGAAATTGTAATGTACATTCTGAATAATCGGTGAATATTCCGAATAAGTGAATGTATATGTGACGACACACGGAATTCAAAGTTGAGTTGTGATACAGGGGTTAAAGCGACAGGAGTACAGATAAGACAGGTTTGATAGAATAGATACCATTCTTGCAGAGAGAGTCGTAAATATCACTGTGAACTTCGCTTAAGATATTTACGACCCTCTCTGCAAGAATGGTGTCTGTTTTTTTATTATTATTATTTATATAGCGCCAACAGATTCCGTAGCGCTTTACAATATTATGAGGGGGGGAATTAACTATAAATAGGTCAATTACAAGAAAACATACAGGAACGATGGGTTGAAGAGGACCCTGCTCAAACGAGCTTACAGTCTATAGGAGGTGGGGTATAAGATATGTTAGGACAGGAAATATCAAATAGGGTGGAAGTGAAGCAGAGCTGGAGGAGAGGGTAGAGAGAGCAAGAGACAGGTATGTAAGGTAGAGGTTACTTTGGGAGGCCATAAGCTTTCCTGAAGAGATGGGTTTTAAGGCTCTTCTTAAATGATTGAAGACTAGGGGAGAGTCTGATGGCGGTAGGCAGGCTATTCCATAGGAAAGGAGCCACCCGCGAGAGGTCCTACAAGCGCGAGTTGGCCGTACGGGTGCGAGCAGCGGTCAGGAGGTGGTCACGGGCAGAGCGGAGGGAACGAGGAGGGGCATACCTATGGATCATTGAGGAGATGTAAGAGGGGCTAGAATTGTTCAGTGCTTTAAATGTATGGGTTAGCACTTTGAATTGACTCCTATAGGATACAGGGAGCCAATGTAAGGACTGGCACAGGGGTGATGTGTGAGAGGACCGACTAAAGAGGATAATCAGTCTAGCTGCAGCATTCATTACAGACTGTAGCGGGGCAATACGGCTTTTGGGGAGACCAATCAGGAGAGGGTTACAGTAATCCATGCGGGAAATTACTAGAGCATGGACAAGCTCTTTGGTCGCATCTTGCGTAAGAAAGGGGCGGATGCGGGCTATGTTTGAGTTGGAACCTACAGGATTTGGCAACAAACTGGATGTGATGCTCAAAGGTGAGGCCAGAGTCAAGTATG